GCACACATGTGGCCTCGGCTAATTTTTTGCGTGTTTTTAGTAGAGACGCGGGTTTACCATGTTGGGCCAGGCGGTCTCAAAGCTGCCTGACCTGAGGTGTCCGACCGCCTCGCCTCCCCCAAAGTGCTGAATTACAGGCATGACCACCACGCTCGGGCCAGTTTATTCTTGTTCTAAAGTCTGACTTGATAATTCTCTATTTGTTTTTTCTCTGTATCCTTCTTTACAAATAAATCCTAATACTTTCTGTGAAACCGTTCAACACAGAATAGTTTTAGGCTACTGTTATTATTCATTTCTTATTCTCAACAATTGTTTATTGTTATATTTTTATCTCCCTTGTATCCCCTTTATGTTTAACACAGAGGGCATACATATCCACCTAAGGCAGGAGAATCGCTTGAATGCGGGAGACAGAGGTTGCAGTGAGCTGAGATTATGCCACTGCACTCCAGCCTGGGCAATAGCAAGATCCTGTCTCAAAAAAAGAAGTGTTCCAGGCCGGGCGCAGTGGCTCACGCCTGTAATCTCAGCACTTTGCAAGGCCAAGGCGGGTGGATCACGAGGTCAGGAGATCGAGACCATCCTAACATGGTGAAACCCCGTCTCTACTAAAAATACAAAAAATCCCAGGCATGGTGGCAGGCGCCAGTAGTTCCAGCTACTTGGGAGGCTGAGGCAGGAGAATGGCATGAACCCGGGAGGCAGAGGCTGCAGTGAGCTGAGATTGCGTCACTGCATTCCAGCCTGGGCAACAGAGTGAGACTCAGTCTCAAAAAAAAAAAAAAAAAGAAAGAAAGAAGAAAGAAAAGTGTTCCAGATTTCTGTTTTTTTCAGATTTTGAAATACTTGCATACACATAATGAGATATCTTGGGGATGAGACCCAAGTCCAAACACAAAATTCATTTATATTTCATATACAGTTTATACACATAGCTTGAAGGTAATTTTATACAATTTTTATTTTATTATTTTTTATCTGAGACGGAGTTTCTTTCACTCTTGTTGTCCAGGCTGGAGTGCAATGCCGTGATCCAGCTCACTGCAACCTCTGTCTCCCAGGTTCAAGCAATTCTCCAGCCTCAGCCTCCCGAGTAGCTGGGATTACAGGAGTCTACCACCATGCCCGACTAATTTTTGTATCTTTAGTAGAGACGGTATTTTGCCATGTTGGCCAGGCTGGTCTGGAACTCTTGACCTCAGGTGATCCACCCGCCTAGGCCTCCCAAGTGCTGGGATGACAGGTGTCCAGCCAACATAAGGTTTTGTTTTTTTTTCAGACAGTCTTACTGTGTCGCCTAGACTGGAGTGCAGTGGCATGATCTCAGCTCATTGCAACCTCTGCCTCCCAAGTTGAAGCAATTCTCGTGCCACAGCCGCCCAAGTAGCCGGGATTATAGGCGTGTGGCCCAGGCTCAAGCAATTCTTGTGCCACAGACTCCTGAGTAGCTGGGGTTACAGGCGTGTGACACCATACCCACTTAATTTTTGTATTTTTTAATAGAGAAGGGGTTTCTCCATGTTGGCCAGGCTGGTCTTGAACTCCTCATCTCAAGTGATCCGCCCACTCTCTGCAACCTCTGCGTCCTGGGCTCAGTTGTCCAGCCTCAGCCTCCTAAGTAGCTGGGAGGACAGGCATGTGCCACCATGTCCAGCTAATTTTTGTATTTTTAGTAGAGATGGGTTTTGCTGTGTTGGCCAGGCTGGTCTTGAACTCCTGGCCTCAAGCAATCCACCCACTTCGGCCTCCCAAAGTTCTGGGATTACAGGCGTGAGCCACCATGTCCAGCCTGAGTACCTTTTTATATTAGTGATTTTTCATCTTTTATTTCTTGTTTTCTAAATAACAGTCATCTACTGTATAGTATAATACATACTTAGAAGCCCCCAGATCACATACGGAAACTCAAACAGGAGACTTGGGGCTTTCGATGTTAACTAGCTAAAAATTATAAAGTCACTAACTACATCTTATGATCATTGGGTATTTTATTGCATTTTGCCTTATTATTTTATTTTTAGTGAGAGGAAAATAGAAAAACAGAAGTGGTTGTATTAATCATATGGAGAAAACTAAGTGTCTCTGATTTAATACGGTTGAGCCCAAGATGGAAATTACTAGCTGACAAGAGGTGAATATATAAGTATCATTTGGACATTTCATTGGACATCAGTCATGTATTTCATTGTGAAGGGAAACAAAAACCATGCACGAAATGCTAGATACAAATAGTTGCACAACCAGCACGACTGGACGGAAGACACTGTCAACACCAAGCTGTCAGCTCTCAGGCTGCGACGCCAGCCACACCATAGCTCAAAATGTCCAGCAAAGTCTAAACTCAATGTACAGAGAAAGGCAATTTGTGAGAGTCAGTGTATTCTTTAGGAAACTGTGTGCTCTGTCAGCCAGTACCAACGCCTTAAAAAAGAGAAGTCACACACTTACCTCAAGAACCACAATGACAGCATGTCATTAATTCTTTAATAAACATAGAATCTGCTTAAGAGGTTATTTTTTTGTTTTTTTTTTTTTTTGAGACAGGGCTCTCACTTTGTTGCCCAGGCTGGAGTGCAGTGGCACAATCATGGCTCACTGCAACTTGCACCTCCCGGGTTCAAGTGATTTTTGTGCCTCAGCCTCCTGAGCAGCTGGAACTACAGGCATGTGCCACCACGCTGGGCTAATTTGTATATTTTTTTAGTAGAGATAGGGTTTTGTCATGTCGGCCAGGCTGCTCTTGAACTCCTGGGCTCGAGTGATCTGCCTGCCTCGGCCTCCCAAAGTGCTGGGATTACAGGTGTGAGCCACCGTGCTCAGCCTGCTTAAGTTATAATATATTTATACTGTGGTAGGGGTAGAAGGCCTAGGCTAGAGAGACAGGGTGAAATGAATCTAGCCACTGAATCTTCTTATTCCTTTTAGACTCAATTGTTTAGACTTAGGGTTTTGAGATTTGCTTCGGCTGGCCAAGGATTTGTGGCTTAGTGCTGTGAATCCAACCAAGAACAATAAAGAGATGCTGCATAAAGCTAGGAAGAGTTGGTGCACCTGGCTCAGTGATACTGCGGTATCAGATGCTCTGGGGCACTGGAAAAGTAGGGTTTCAGAGGTAAAGGACTGAGGATCAGCAGAGAGCTGGTGCCACTGCTATCCCACCAACTCTCCAAAACACCTTCTGGCCAGATACCAATTCTAAGTTTGGGCTCTATAAAACAGTCACACAGTTTTAAACGCTAACCCTGAGGATTAAGAAAATATGCGAAGAAATGCTCTTACTTATAGCTTCGAAAGTAAATCTTCCCATTCAGTGCAGTGAAGTGCAGAACATACTCTAATCCAGCCAGGCGGATATTTGATACTGTGGGGCCTCTGAAGAAATCTAAAAGCACATATTAAATTGTTAACAAAACAAAACAAATACTTACAAAATTCAGTTACAACTGCATTCTAAACAGTTTTGTTCCAATACTTATCTAAAAAAGCACAAAAAACGATTCCTGAAAAATGTCGGAAGGTCTCACCCCTTAAGCATTTAATCTTATGACTTTATTTCTGTGTTCAGTTCACTGAGACATTTAATGTTTCAGTTTTGAAGTTCTTCCTCTGAGTCAGCTCGGCAACAAAAAATCATATCCATTAAGAATACTAACTTTAAAAAAATGTAAATCAAAGCATAAAATTTTAACCTATAGGTAGATGAAGGTAGCAAATTTCTATAAAAATGATTGTTCAAACTGACTATTAAAATCAAATTAGCTTCAATTTTTTTTTCTATGAGGGAGGTCAACAAGAAAAAAATTCTAATAAGAAATTTTGATTATATGAGCAAAGGATAAGAAACTTTATAAACTGTTAATGCCAGAAAAGAACCTTGGATATCAGGGATAGGCTTTTTTCTCACAAAGTGGTAATCATACCACTGGTGGCACATGCGAGCATTTTAATGATACAAAGCCAGATATAATTTACTACATATTTATTTTATCCTGTACATTCTCCATTTATGACAGGGACATAAAGTTTCCTTTTAAAAAGAGTAGTCGGCCAGGCACAGTGGCTCATGCCTGTAATCCCAGCACTTTGGGAGACTGAAGTGGGCAAACCGTTTAAGCTCAGGAGTTTGAGGCCAGTCTGGGCAACACGATGAAACCTCATCTCCACTAAAAGTATAAAAATTTAGCCAGGTTGTAGTCCTGGCTACTGGAAGGGCTAAGGTGGGAGGATTGCTGAACCACTGGACTCCAGTGAGGGTGACAGAGCAAAACCCATCTCAAGCAGTAACATAAAAAGAGGAGTAATTAAAAGAAAATCTCCAGTGAACTGCACGCTATAGATACTACACGGACTTGGCTATGAAAGAAGTTTGGAAAACAAGTGTGATACCTTAATTTTACAGCTGAGAAAATCGAACCTCAAGAAGGCTAAATGGAAATTCATGAATAACATTTGACTAAGATAAAGTTCTATACAAAAATGTATCCAAGTTTGCTTAGGAAGAGCTGCCCAAGGCAGGTGACGTAGTAAGTAGGAAATTTTATTCTAGTCCCATTCTGTAGCCACCTAGCATTTTCCTTCCCTCTTCCCATTAGCCCATAAGATGCAGATGATCTCCATGTGCACAGATGTACACATCTTTTGTTGTCTGCTTTTCCCTTCTTGTGGTTAACCAAAAGAAAATCACAGGCCGGATGCGGTGGCTCATGCCTGTCATCTTGGGAGGCCGAGGCGGGCGAATCACGAGGTCAGGAGATTGAGACCATCCTGGCTAACACAGTGAAGTCCCGTCTCTACTAAAACTACAAAAAATTAGCGGGGTGTGGTGGCACGTGCCTGTAGTCCCAGCTACTTGCGAGGTTGAGGCAGGAAAATCACTCGAACCTGGGAGGCAGAGATTACAGTGAGCCGAGATCGTGTCACTGTACTCTCCAGCCTGGGTGACAGGGCAAGACTCAGTCTCAAAAAAAAAAAAAAAAAAAATCAGCATTAATGTGTATAAAACAAACACAAGTGTACAGGCACATTTATATATTACCCTTCTCTACTCCCCGAAACGAGAAAAAAAACAAAAAACCCTAATGAACATTTTTAATTTAAAAAAAGTACATATATTACATATATTTATACATATATTATATAGAGATGGGGTCTCACTATGTTGCCCAGGCTGGTTTCGAACTCCTGGACTCAAGCACTCCTCCTGCCTTGGTCTCTCAAAGTGTTGGGATTACAGGCATGAGCCACCATGCGCCTGGCCTGGGACATTTTTATAAAACAAGTTTGTACTTTTCAAGATATTTTAATCTAAATATCATAATAAAGAGCTTTCCCATAATTTTGCCAAAGCCTGGCTCTCCTTCAGTGGCCAAGTTATGCTTCGGTAATGCCACACCAATGCCAAGCCCACTCATTGGTGTGGCATTACAGAAGTCAGAGTAGTTCTGGGGAACAAAATATGTACATTCCAGTCTGCTCCGAAACAACTTTCATAATGCAAAATTTTCAGGGCATCTGTGCTTTTTCCATAAGCTTTGGGAGAAAACTTTAGGAACACAATAAGCACATGGAAAAGTACTTTTTAATAGGTCAAAATTTCTAAGACTATGAATATAAAAGGATTTTCAGTCTGTATCCAATAGTTTGAAGTAGTCATCCTTTTATTACAACATTTCTCTTAACTGCCAAACTGAAATTTCCCTAAAGTTTGCAAATCATCAAGGTAACACAAACAAGTAATGAATGAAAATGGGAGGGCATAAATGGTAGTACTTAGTAACCGAAAGCAAATACAGCTAACAGCATGATATTTTCTGGCTAGAAACAACAGAGTATTGTTTATACATGAATACCATTGGCAAGAATCCATTCACTTAACAAATTCTACCAGAGCACCTATTATGCATAATGATAAATGACATATAGCATCTTTCTACCAGGGGCCCCGCATTCTAGGTAGATATGAATACATACAAACAACTGCAATTTAAAATAGCACATTAAAGGAGAACAGTATAAACCATTCTGGAAGTTCTAAGGAGAGAAAGATCATTTCTAGTTGAGAACGATCTCATGCAAGTGGTATATACATTGTAAGGATTTTGACCAAGAAGTATGATAAATAACTTTATGAACCTGAGAACCTGAAGTATAATAATACTGTATAAATAAAAGCATGGCTGGGCATGGTGGCTCATGCCTACAATCCCAGCACTTTCGGAGGCCAAGATGGGTGGATCACCTGAGGCCAGGAGTTCGAGACCAGCTTGGCCAACGTGGCGAAAACTCATCTCTACAAAAAATACAAAAATTATCCAGGCATGGTGGTGAATGCCTGTAATCCCAGTTACTCAGGAGGCTGGGGCAGAAGAATCGCTTGAACAGCTGATGCAGAGGTTGCAGTGAGCCGAGATTGCACCATTGCACTCTAGCCTGGGCGACAGAGTGAGACTCCATCTCAAAAACTAAACAAATAAGAAATAAAAGCATGTACTATAAAAAGACCTAAATTCAAAACTTTAATATGCCACTTGGTAAATGCATGACCTTAGAAAAGCTACTCACCTCTTCAGGCCTCAGTTTTCTCAATTATATAATGAAAATCAGAATTAAAAATTCCTCTACTCCAAATTTTAAAAAAACCACATAAATAATATGCTACCATTTAAGAAGGGAAGAATAGGCCAGGCACACTGGCTCACAACTCCAACTTTGGGAGGCTGAGGCTGGAGGGCTGCTTGAGTCTAGGACTCTGAGACCAGCCCAAGCAATGTAGCAAGACCTCATGTCTACAAGAAATAAAAAAAAATTAGCTGGGCGTGATGACATCTACCTGGGATCCTAGCTACTGAGGGGAATGAGGTAGGAGGATCGTTTGAGACCAGGAAGTTGAGGCTACAATGAGCCATGATTGTGCCACTGCACTCCAGCCTGGGCAACAGAGTGAGACCCTGTCTCAAAAAAAAAAAAAAAAAAAAAAAGATGCAAACAAATTCAGAGTGAACAAAATGGGTATCTTGCATGAAAAAAAAAGTCAATTTTTCTTTTTGGTCAAGAAAAAAAAGAAAAGGAGCTTCCTAAATGAAAGCCCTTCATATGTTTCTTGCTCCCTACTGATATTTCATTTGAACACACAACATAAACCAAGGAGCAGTTGTTTTACTTCATATTTATACTGAAAACCCAACTTCCCTTAGTGCCCTACAGTCTGAATCTGTTCCTCTTCTACCTTTCTGCTTCTGTACAGATTCCTTTTTGGTTTTCACTCCCTTCCACTCATCACTGCATTATGTGATTATTCCTGCCATCTAGTGGAAGCACAAAATAATGAGAAGGTGGGGCTTATTAAAATACAACAAACATTTAAACAAATGCAAACAAAAGCTCTCTCTGTTATAACAAATTATAAGTATCTGCCTCACTGACAATAAACAATTATATGGGAGACCTAGGAGAAAGAGAAAAAGGCAAAAAATTGGGGTCAATGGAATACAAGTAATGGAAATCTTAGCTGAAAATCTGGCTGACAGTTTGGTTAGAAAAATATCCTTGGCCAGGCACGGTGGCTCACGTCTATAATCTCAGCATTTTGGGAGGCCAAGGCAGGCAGATCACTTGAGGTCAGGAGTTCAAGACCAGCCTGGCCAACATGGTGAAACCCAGCCTTTACTAAAAATATAAAAAATTAGCTGGGTGTGGTGGTATGTACCCGTGGTCCCAGGTACTAAAGAGGCTACGGCAGGAGAATTGCTTGAACCTGGGAGGTGGAGGTTGCAGTGAGCTGAGATCACACCAGGGCAACAGAGTGAGACTCCATCTCAAAAAAAAAAAAAAAAAAAAAAAAAGCCTTGATAATTTGGGATATATAATATTGAGAGAAGGAAATATTGGTCATTGTCTTTCATGTACGAATTCATGGAAAATGTGGATAAGAACCTAGAAAGATTCTAGAAGGGATCATGGGAATATGTTCACCACAGGCAAGATGGACAGTAGGGGAAGAAAAGCTCAGGCTTTGGAAACTTTAGGTTTCAACTCTGCTTTACCTACTTAATAGCTCTCATTTAAGTTCTCAGAGCCCCTGTTTGTTTTCCCATCTGTAAAATGGGAATGTCATTGAACTCAAGAACTTTTGTAAAGATTAAACAGATAATAGTGGTTCTTTAATAAGGGAAATAAGTTCTAAAAATTATAATGCCAAGAATGGGTGACTGGGTTTTTTCCCCTAAAAATTATAATCCTGATAATAAAGACCAAAATTAATCCCAAAAAGAAAAAAATGAAAGCAATATGTTTGTCACAAAGTTTTTTTTGGTGGGCTCAGATTTGTAAAGCATGTGCATACAACTTAACTTTATATGCCATCAATTTTTCAAAAGTGATCTAGGGCAAAGTATATAAAAATTTAAAAGAAGGGTAACAAAAAGTGTAGCATAAGCTTGTAAGCATGGTGCAAGAAAAGCTCAAATGGAATAACATAGAAAATGCCACTGAGCATTAGATGGAGGCCTCGTGGCTATCAACACTGAGGTGAAATAGGAACATAAAAGACTGCTGCTTTGAGAGTAACAGTGCACTGTGCAGGAAAAGCTCAATCTCTCAAACCCCATGAGGGAAAAGAAGCAAAAAATTCAGTAAGATTTTCTTAAATTGGAGAGAGCTAGGTGCAGTGGCTCATGCCTGTAATCTCAGCACTTTGGAAAGCTGAGGCAGGTGGATCGCTTGAGATCAGGAGTTCAAGACTGGCCTGGGCAATATAGAGAGACCCCCATCTCTACAAAAAATTAAAATAAAAACTAGCTGGGCATGGTGGTGTGAACCTGTAGTCCCAGCTGCTCAGGAGGTAGAGGACTGCTTGAACTCAAAAGGTTGAGGCTGCAGTAAGGCGTGATCACACCAGTACACTCCAGCCTGAATGACAGAGCAAGATGCTGTCTCCAAAAAAAAAAAAAAAAATTGAGAGACAGAGACACAGACCCCCTAGACCCTTTAAATTAGTACCAATCTCTTGGAAAATTAAATTACTTTCTAGAGTTATAAAAGAGCTGGCAAATAGAATCGCAGAATGCTAAGTATTAGTAACCTTTTAAAAATCATGGAGGCTGGGTGTAGTGGCTCACACCTGTAATCCCAGCACTCTGAGGGGTTGAGGTGGGAGGATTGCTTAAGTCATGAAGTTCAAGACCAGCCTGGGCAACACAGTGAGACTCCGTCTTAACAAAAAATTTTAAAAATTAGCCAGGTGTGGTGGCATATGTCTATGGTCCCAGCTACTTAGGAGGCTGAGGTAGGAGGATCACTTGAGTCCGGGAGGTTGAGGCTGCAGTGAGCCATGATTAAGCTACTGCACTCCAGCCTGGGCATCAGAGCACGACTTGTCTCATAAAGGAGAAAAAAACAGAAAAGGATGTAGTCCTTACATTCATTACACAAATCATTAAAAACTAGCATAGTTCACTAGGTATGGGTTATCTGTAGAACAACCTCACGAGGTTCCTGTTAGAATGAAGCAGTGTATATGAAGTGCCTACTATATGCCTGGCACTTAGGATGATGATGGTAATAAAGTAAAAATGAGCCGGGGCCTGTCGCAGTGGCTCATACCTGTAATCCCAGCACTTTGGGAGGCCAAGGAGGGTGGATTACCTGGAGTTAGTAATTCAAGACCAGCCTGGCCAACATGGCAAAACCCCATCTCTACTAAAAATTAAAAAAAATAAAATAAAATTAGCCAGGCATGGTGGCAGGAGCCTGTAATCCCAGCTACCTGGGAGGCTGAGGCAGGAGAATTGCTTGAACCCGGGAGGTGGAGATTGCAGTGAGCCGAGATCACATCATTGCTCTCCAGCCTGGGCAACAGAGCAAGACTCCATCTAAAAAAAAAAAAGAGCCGGGAAGGTCACTGAGGGCTTCCTGGAGAAGAAAAGAAACTTGACAATCTGACACTGAAATGAATTAGTAGAAACTGGATAAGTAAGAGTAATACCAGAATAGACAACAGAAATGTGAATAATATATTGGCAATAAACCCTTTTTAATGGAAAAAAGAAATAGGAGATCAAGAAGGCCAAGTTACATTGGTTATATATTGTGAAAGGCCTTGTATATTCAATTCAGAAAAACTAATTAAGGTTTTTGAGTTGGAAGTCAGTGATACATACAATCTTGAAATTTTAATCCCTCAACTTTCTAAATTTAATTTTAAATGATGCTAGGAATGACAGGAGATGGGTGCAGGAATTTTATAAAACACTATGTAAGTAATACCTAAGTTACTAACACATTGGGAAATAATCATCTGCACAGTACAACAGCTGCTTTAACTCTCCCGAGACACTTAGGTACATTCTTGCTGCTGGTAAGGGGGAAAAAAAAGAAAAAGGTCCAAAAAAAGGAGGAAAAAGAAGTTGTGCTCACTTCGGCAGCACATATACCAAAACTGGGAGCACACAGAGATTAGTACGGCCCCTGTGCAAGGATGGCCTGCAAATTTGTGAAGCACTCCATTATTTTCAGTATATATTATTTTTAAAATAAGAGAAAAAAGAAGTTACAAACCTAAAGTGGCAAACTGCCACCAGTGACAGTCTGAGACTGCCTTCCTGAGCTACTCTGAAGATAATAAATGCTAAAATACTTACCAATAAGAAGACTTTTTAGTCTTCTATAATCTTCTGTTACATCAAAATCATCACCAGCAAATATTAGCATGGGTTTTGTTCCCTCAGGACATTTACTGTTCTAAAAAAAAAAAAAAAATGCAATTATATAATTACCAAAGTCTAAACTGTTTACATACTGATTTATTATTATTATTATTATTTTTGACATGGAGTCTCACTCTGTCATCCAGGCTGGAGTGCAGTGGCGCAGTCTCAGCTCACTGCAACCTCCACCTCCCGGGTTCAAGCGATTCTCCTGCCTCAGTCTCCCAAGTAGCTAGGACTACAGGTGCATGCCACCATGCCCAGTTAATTTTTTTGTATTTTTCGTACAGACTGGGTTTCATCATGCTGGCTAGGCTGGTCTCAAACTCCTGACCTCAAATGATCCACCCGCCTCGGCCTCCCAAAGTGCTGGGATTATAGGTGAGAACCATGGTGACTGGCCTATACTGATTTTAAAGTAGTTGGTACTTTACACTAATTTGTTTTCACATTTTAACTGTTCTAAAACTATGTCTGTGAATACTGATATTAGAGGTAAAAACAGAGGTGGGATTTTTTTTTTAAAGAGATAGGCTCTCGCTGTGTTGCCTAGTCTGGGCTCAAACTCTTGGGCTCAAGACATCCTCCAAGTATCTGGGCTAAAGGTGCAGGCCTGGCTAAGATGACGTTTTTAAGCTTCTAGACTAAAAAAACCATTCTTTGTCCCATTCATTTACATTAGCAAATAAAAGACGGCAAAAGAATGATGTAACGGGCTTTTTAAACATTAGTCTAAGCAAAGAATAAAATTAAAAGTTACACTTGCAAAAGCAAAACACAACACAATACAACCAACCAACCAAAATAGCCTTCTGATGGCCAGCATCCCTGAATCAAAATAAATTTAAGGCCAGGTGTGATGGCTCATGCCTATAAACCCAGCACTTTGGGAGGCCAAAGCAGGAAGACAGCCTGAGGCCAGGAGCGAGTTCAAGAGCAGCCTGGGCAACACAGTGAGACCTCATCTCTACAAAAACCTTTGTTTTGAAATGGAGTTTCACTCTTGCTACCCAGGCTGGAGCACAATGGCGCTATCTTGGCTCACTGCAACCTCTGCCTCCCAAGTAGCTGGGATTACAGGCATGCACCACCACGCCTGGCTAATTTTGTATTTTTAGTAGAGACAGGGTTTCTCCATGTTGGTCAGGCTGGTCTCGAACTCCCGACCTCAAGTGATCCACTGGTCTTGGCCTCCCAAAGTGGTGGGATTACAGGCATGAGCCACCACACCCGGCCAAAAACAACTTTTAAAAATTAGCTGGGCATGTTGGTGAGTGCCCATGGTCTCAGACACTCGGAACATGAGGTTGGAGGATTGCTTGAGCCCAGAAGGTGGAAGCTGCAGTAAGCCATGATCGTGCCACTGTACTCCAGCCTGGGTGACTGAGTGAGACCTTGTCTCAATGAGTAAATAAATTTAATTATAATTTATTTGTACCACTGTACCTTTCCTACTATATCTTATAAAAAGTATTTTAAAATGAAGGCTATGGACTGGGCACAGTGGTTCACGCCTGTAATCCTAGCACTTCCAGAGGCAGAGACTGGCTGACCACTTGAGGTCAGGAGTTCGAGACCAGCCTGGCCAACATGGTGAAACCCTGTCTCTACTAAAAATAGCAAAAGTTGGCGGGGCGTGGTGGCACACGCCCGTAGTCCCAGCTACTCCAGAAGCTGAGGCAGGAGAATCGCTTGAATCCAGGAAACAGAGCTTGTAGTGAGCCAAGATCATGCCACTGCACTCTAGCTTGGGTGATAGAGCAAGATGCTATCTCAATTAAAAAAAAAAAAATGAAGGCTATAGGCTACGTGTGGTGGCTTACACTTGTAATCCCAGCACTTTAGGAGGCCAAGATGGGCAGATCGCTTGAGCCCAGGAGTTTGAGACCAGCCTGGGAAACGCGGTCTCTACAAAAAAATACAAAACAGGCTGGGCACGGTGACTGACCCTTATAATCCCAGCACTTTAGGAGGCCGAGGCAGGCGCATCACTTGAGGTTAGGAGTTTGAGACCAGCCTGGCAAACATGGTGGAACCCTGTCTCTACTAAAAAATATAAAAATTAGCCAGGTGCAGGGGTGTGTGCCTATAGTCCCAGCTACTTGAAAGGCTGAGACAGGAAAATCACTTGAACATGGGAGGTGGAGGTTGCAGTGAGCTGAGATAGCGCCACAGCACTCCAGCCTCGGCGACAGAGACTCCGTCTCAAAACAACAACAACAACAAACAAAACACAAAACAATTAGCCAGGCGTGGTGGTGCACATCTATGGTCCCAGCTACTTGGGAGGCTGGGGTGGAAGGATCACCTGAGCCCGGGGAAGTCCAGGCTGCCGTGAGCCGTGCTCACGCCACTACACTCCAGACTGGGACAGAGTGAGACCCTCAAAAACATAAATAAATAAAAATAAAATGAAGGCTAAGTTAAACTACCAACTAGACATTCACATGAGAAGCAATGTAATTTTATATAAGCTACAGAAAGTATAGGCCAATTCTCATCAGCAGTGTTGAAACTCTTACTATAAAAAGTATTTTCACCAGTTATAGATTTTTTACACCAAATAGAATGTGATGTGATTAAAAAGAGGATTTAGAAGCCACCAAAGAGGCAAAAAATGAAAGAGTAACAATTCTTTAACTGAGTGAGTAATTTATGGAGGAAGGTGAATGACTTGGTCTGGGCTTTCTATAAATTCTCTGTTCTGACCAAAAATCAAGGGCTATCCAAAATCCAGCAACAAAACAAAACAAAAACAGTACAAAAACCAAACACCCTCTGCCCTAGGACCAGAGGTCACCTGTTGCTTTGCTGCTCACCATGACCACTCTTGTTGACATTCTCTACTTCCAAACCCGGAACCTTAACGGTCTATACTTAGGAGATGGAGATGTGCCTAACATCTGTCTGTCTGATAGAGAAGCTGAAAGGACATTCCAGATCTAACAGGTCTTCCATGCTCCAGCCATGCCAGTCTGACCCTAGGTCTATAGAGTCTATTTAGGTGTACAGAAGGGAACAAAAAGCACAGCATCATCAACAACTACTTTTGGCTTCCAAACCATCCTGACCACAATGCACAGTAATAAAAAAAAAAAAAAAAAAAAAAATTTGAAGTTGTCACCCAGTATACACATCATACAAATACAAATCAAAGTTATGTGAAACAGTAATTGGCTGGGCACGGTGGCTCACACCTGTAATCCCAGCACTTTGGAAGTCTGAGGTAGGTAGATCACTTGAGGTGAGAAGTTTGAGACCAACCTGGCCAACATGGTGAAACCCCATCTCTATTAAAGCTACAAAAATTAGCCGGGCGTGGTGGCGCATGCCTGTAATCCCAGCTACTTGGGAGGCTGAGGCAAGAGAATCGCCTGAACCTTGGGGTGGAGGTTGCAGTGAGCTGAGATAGCACCACTGCACTCCAGTCTGGGCGACAAAGCAAGACCCTGTCTCCAAAAAAAAAAAAACAAAAAAAACCCAAAAAAACCCCAATACTTAATACATACAGCACTGATATTTTTTACTCTATTCCATTTTTAAAAAACACTAGTCACGGCCAGGCACGGTGGCTCATGCCTCTAATCCTAGCACTCTGAGAGGCCGAGGCAGGTGGATCACAAGGTCAGGAGTTCGAGACCAGTCTGGCCAACATAGTGAAACTCCGTCTCTACTAAAAATACAAAAAATTAGCCGGGGATGGTAGTGTGCGCCTGTAATCCCAGCTACTTGGGAGGCTGAGGCAGGAGAATCACGTGAATCCAGGAGGTGGAGGTTGCAGTGAGCCAAGATCACGCCATTGCACTCCAGCCTGGGCGACAGTGTGAGACTCCATTTCAAAAAAAAAAAAAAATGCTAGTCACATGCACATCATGAAGACCCTGAACTAGGTAGGAGTCTACAACAGATGAGCTGGCTGGGCGCGGTGGCTCACATCTATAATTCCAGCACTTTGGGAGGCCAAAAGTGGGTGGATAACCTGAGGTCAGAAGTTCAAGACTAGCCTGACTAACACGGTGAAACTCTGTCTCTACTAAAAATTCAAAAATCAGCTGGGTGTGGTGGCACACACCTGTAATCCCGCTACTCAGGAGGCTGAGGCAGGAGAATCTCCTTAACCCGGAAGGCGGAGGTTGCAGTGAGCCGAAATTGGGCCGCTGCACTCCAGCCTGGCCAACAAGAGTGAAACTCTGTCGGTGAGGGAGACGTGATGCCTCACTCTGTTACTCAGGCTAGAGTGCAGTGGAGCGATCATAGCTCACAGCAACCTTAAACTCCTGGGCTCAAGCGATCCTCTCACCTCAGCCTCTCAAGTAGATGGGACTACAGGCACATGCCACCATGCAAGGCTAATTTGTCTCACTATGTTGTCCAGGCTAGTCTTATTTCATTCAATATAATCATCCTTCGATGTATGGCCATCTTGAGAAAACAGGCTCCTAGAATACTCAATTTCCTGGTAGAGTCTAATATTAAATATTCTCATTGAGCTTGTTTAAAGAGTTAAATATTCTCATTGTATCTACTAAAAATACAAAAAAATTAGCCCGGCATGGTGGCAGGCACCTGTAATCCCAACTACTTGGGAGGCTGAGGAAGGAGAATTGCTTGAACCAGGGAGGCGGATGTTGCAGTGAGACGAGATCGTGCCACTGCACTCTAGCCTGGGTGACAGAGCAAGACTCTGTCTGGTGGGGATGGTGGAGGGGACGGACAAGTTAACGGAGGAAAGAGGGTTGGCAACAAAAGTAGGTAGGTGAGGTAAGAAATACCTAGCAAAACATCTTAAAAACAAAGGAGAAGTAAAGGGAAGATAAGGGAAAGTGTACCAAAACAAATTAAAAATATAAACCTGTAATCAAATAATGGGGTATTGGTGACACCGGTGTTAGAAAATTAAAAAAAAAAAAAAAAAATGAGGTAAAAAGTGAAAGACTAGGGCCGGGTACGGTGGCTTACGCCTGTAATCCCAGCACTCTGGGAGGCTGAGGCAGGTGGATCACCTGAGATCAGGAGTTCAAGACTAGCCTGGCCAACATGGTAAAACTCGCTACTAAAAATACAAAAATTAGCCAGGCGTGGTGGTAGGCGCCTGTAATCCCAGCAAATTGGGAGGCTGAGGCAGGAGAATTGCTTGAACCTGGGAGGCAGAGGTTGTAGTGAGCCAAGATCATGCCACTCTGCACTCCAGCCTAGGCCACAAGAGCAAAACTCCATCTCAAAAAAAAAAAAAGGACTGCCTAATAAGTCTGAGTACACGTAAGAATTGCCAATGTAAGCACATTCTCAATTAATAAAATTTATAGTTATATATATACTCCATGAGTGAAAATGTAGTGTTCAATTTAAACGGTTCTTGTTTAGAATGAGACCTGGGCTGGGTGCAGTGGTTCATGTCTGTAATCCCAGTGGTTGGGGAGGCCAAGGCGGAAGGATCGCTTGAACTCAGGAGTTTGAGACCAGCCAGGGCAACATGGTGAGATCCCATTTCTTAAAAAAAAAAAAAAAAAATTTTGGCGGGGCTGGGTGGCACACACCTACAGTCCTAGCTACTCAGGAGACTGAGGCAGGATAATAGCCTGAGCCCAGAATTCAAGGCTGCAGTGAGCGGTGATCCCACCACTGTACTCCAACCTGGGCAACAGAGTGAGACCTTGCCTCTAGAAAACAAAAAATGAAATGAAACCTGGTAATAATGGTTTTGTGGTCCAGTTTACTTTTTTATTTTCTTTTTTTAAGACAAAGTCTTGCTCCGTCGCCCAGGCTGGAGTGCAGTGGCATGATCTCGGCTCACTGCAACCTCCACCTCCCGGGTTCAAGAGATTCTCATGCTTCAGCCTCCCAAGTAGCTGGGATTACAGGCATGCACCACCATGCCTGGCTAATTTTTTTATTTTTAGTAGAGATGGGGCTTCGCCATGTTGGCCAGGCTGGTCTCGAACTCCTGAGCTCAGGTGATCTGCCTGCCTTGGCCTCCCAAACTACTGGGATTATAGGTGTGAGCCACTGCGCCTAGCCGGTTTACTTTATACATATACGAGACAAGGTCTCGCTATGTTGCCCAGGCTTGTCTCAAATTCCTGGCCTCAAGTAATCCTCCTGCCAGGGCCTCCCAAAGTGATGGGCTTACAGGCATGAGAGCCTGGACTGTGGTCCAGTTTAGAAGCTGCACAGTGAATGAAGTATTTCATTGCTTTGGAAGTGAAATGGAAAGACTAGAGGGGCTGGCATGTGCTCATTAGCCAGTGCTCCCTCCCACTAAGCTGGTGATAAACTAGTAGCAGTGGTAAAGGTGAAATGGGGTTACGCTGGTCATCTCCAGAGATTTGTGCATGCTCCCAAAGAGACACTATAATAATATGACAGCTGGGCACCCCAGCACTTCGGGAGGCTGAGGCAGGAGGATCTCCTGAGTCCAGGAGTTTGGGACCAGTCTGGACAACACTGTGAGAGCTTGTCTTTACAAAAAAAAAAAAAATTAGCCAGGTGAAGTGGCACACAACTATAGTCCCAGCTACCTGGGAGGCTGAGGTAGGAGGATTGCTTAAGCCCAGGAGGTCAAGGGTGCAGTGAACTGAGATCGCACTACTACACCCCAGCCTAGGTGACAGAGCGAGACCCTGTCTCCAAAGAAAAAAAACAGAAAGAAAATAATATGAGGGCTTCCACCATAATCAAGCATCACAGTTTAAATACTTTACAAAATACTTCCCAAAATATTATCTTCACTGATAAGCACTTTCACATATATTATCTCATTTGATGTTGTTATACTTATCTTATATGTGATTGCAATTGAAGGTTAAGGAAGCCATTAACTTGTCAGGTCACAAATGTCATCTAAATAGCCAAGACAGGCCTCAAATCCAAGTGTTCTGCCTCTAAATCCAATTTCAGACCACTGTTCCACCTGTACCTGAGGAAACTGGGGTGACTGACTAAATGGGGATCTGGTAAGAATCTTTTTTTCCAAACTCATGGGATAAAGTTGCTTAGTACAGGAATTCTACCCAAACCTGGAAAGCATGTCCTCTCTTAAAGTCAGGCAGGGAAAAGAGTAATTATATATTTTTGCTACAATTCTTCCGACTAGACCATGAGCCTCAAAAACCCATAAACTGTGAGTCGTTACATAACTTTCTATTACCAACAATAATATCACTTCTCCCAAAGCCCTAGAGTCCTAATCTTGGTTATATTGACCATATGTGTGATTCTAGTTCACCAATGAAACCCCTATGGGCCACAATCTCCAAATCTATACAAAAAAGAAAATTACTTAGGCCTTACCCAGATTGCTATGAGGTCTAGGTGAAATAATGTATTTGCTAAGATAGATTAAGCCTGAAGCAGAGTTCTGAGGGAACAGTAGCCCAATTTGTACCTAAGAGCCGAGTTAGAACACTCTATTTCATAGTACCATTAAAACGAAGATGACACAAAAGATACAACTCCCCAAGGGTGAACTGAGCTGCCATTTGGTGGTTAGTAACCAAAATACTATAGAATCAGCCAGAGCTTCCTGGGTTTACAAGAGGACTCAATTTGAAAATTCTACAGGTTTTTCTAAGGTTCCATAAAATAGATTCTGTGATAATTGAGAAAAAGAGGACAGCATTTAAACTATAGGCCTAGGTGCTTTGGCTCACACCATGGCAGGGGGAGCCCTTGAGCTCAGGGATTTGAGACCAGCTTGGGCAACATGACAAAACCCTGTCTCTACAAAAAAAAAAAAAATACAAAACAATTAGCTGGGCGTGCTGGCACGCCCCTGTGGGGGCTTGCTTGAGCCCGGGAAGTTGAGACTGAGTAAGCCATGTTCATGCCACTGGTCTCCAGCCTGGGTGACAGAGTGAGACCCTGTTTCAAAAAAATAAAATAAAATAAAAAAAAATAAAAAATAAACTCAAACTATGAAAAAAGCAAAAAAAAATTAAACTATGGCCTAGACAAGAATTAGTAACCACAGTCTGAAGTCTAACAGCCACAAGGTCCACATATGTTGCTATGCACTACAAATACATTCCTCTTTTTAAAAGAAAGGTAAAATAAAATTGCATTTTTATCCTAGAGCATGTCAAAATAAAAACACAAAGTTCTTGATCTACTCTTCACCACAAGATGTCACTACTGGCCAAGAGAAGCATTACAAAATACTTTTCATTTCTATGATGAGTATCTTACCTTAATGTCTTTTAGAGAGACGAAATTCTCAATACCTAATTCAATCATATCCAGCACATGGTGGTCATACATACGACCTGGAAGGAAAATGTATTTTTAAGTATGTATTTTTCCCAAAGAGCCACCTTACATATACCCACATGAGCTGTGTATTCAAAATGTCCTAATATCTGCCTCTTTTCTTTCTCCCTATAATCCCGCAAACATATCCCACTTTCTTACATTTTCAACTCTACTTATTGTTATGATATTAGTCATTGAAAGGATCTTAGACATTACCTAGCCCAACTCCTTTATTTTATACAAGAATAAATGATGGCCCACAGAAGGTAAAGGGCTTGCCTAAGCCAGTGAGCATGCCAGACTCAATCTCAATACACTGAGGCAAAGGTTCATTTTCAAATCTACTTACTCAATAGATATTAGAGCAAGGTTAATTTACATGGGTCGATACACTAACTCTAATATTGATTTAGTACATATATATATATATATATATTTCATACTAAAAAAAAAATCTACAGCTTAGGATAATTTTTTCCCCCCAATTCCAATGGATCCATGCTATGTGGGAGCTCAGAGACACTCAATGCAAGTATAAAGTAATCATGTTGCATCTACAACCCAGTAGGCAGGGATGCTGAGAGCCCGAAGAGACCACGGTTCCTGTTTAAATCAGAATTTGATTCCAACAGAGACAGAAGGCAATGGCAATTCTAAGAAACATGAATTACCAGGGAATCTTTTCATATTCTTTCTTACTTGTGGCACTTCACTGTATTGGTAGGGTCATATTTATTTATATGCCCCATTCTTTACTTGCAGACTGACATAAATTTTTTTTTTTTGAGATGAAGTCTTGCTGTGTCACCCAGGCTAGAATGCAATAGCATGATCTCAGCTCACTGCCACCTCCGCCTCCCTGGTTCAAACAATTCTCCTCCCTCAGCCTCCCATGTAACTAGGATTACAGGTGTGTGCTACCATGCCTGGCTATTTTTTTGCATTTTTAGTGGAGACAGGGTTTCACCATATTAGCCAGGCTGGTCTCAAATTCCTGACCTCAAGTGATCCACCCACCTCAGCCTCCCAAAGGGCTGGATTTACAGGCGTGAGCCATCGTGCCTGGCATGATCTAAAAATTTTTTATTCAATGTCACAAGGTGAAAACAAAACCAAAAAACCCCACCAAACTAGTTTACAGCTTATTGATTACTCCTGATCCCTCAATACCATCAGTTAATCTGAGTCACAGAGCTTGTTACAGTAGATAGGCAGACATGCACAGGACAGGAGAGGCTGCCCACTCACCCCACCCCAACCAGGAATGTCAGGCAACCATCAGGTGATGGTCAGGTGGCTGTTTAACTGTCTCTCTAAAATAATAATTGGTTGCAGCCAGTGCCAAGGAGAGGCATGCTCCCAAGAAATAGATAACACCTGAGGCTAGTAATCAGCAGCTTCCCAATAAGATCTCAGGAGTTGGGTGGGTGGGCTCAAGCACGCACACTAGGAGGCAAAATGGCAGACTTTAACTGGTATATGACCTTGCTCTATGCTTCAAATGAGCATATGTATAACTCCAATAAACACACTGTGCATGTGGCCCCTCCCAAGTGCTGGCAGGCCACTGCACAGGCAGACAGCTCATCCCAAGGAAAAATCAAGGTAGGAGGCGAGGCATGCTGGCTCATGCCTGTAATCCCAGCACTTCAGGAAGCCAAGGTGGGCAGATCACTTGAGGTCAGGAGTTCAAGACCAGCCTGGTCAACACGGTGAGACCCCCGTCTCTACAAAAAATACAAAAATTAGCCGGGCATGGTGGTGGGCACCTGTAGTCCCAACTACTCAGGAGGCTGAGGCAGGAGAATTGAACTCGGGAGGTGGAGGTTGCAGTGAGCTGAGATTGAGCCATTGCACTCCAGTCTGGGCAATGGAGCAGACCAAGACTCCGTCTCAGAAAACAAAAAAAAAGAAGAAAAGAAAAACCAAGGGAGAAGAGACACCAAACTCCTGAAGCATACCAACGTATAAAGCCCCCAAGTCAAAGGTCAAACAGCACACTTGAATCTTTCAAGTTGCCTGCTTGGCGCTCCAAGGGTACTTTATTTCCTTTTACTTCCTTTTGTTTCTGCTCTATAACTTTTTTTTTCCCCCTTGAGACAGGGTCTCACTCCGTCGCCCAGGCTAGAGTACAGTGGCGCCATCTGGGCTCACTGCTACCTTCACCTCCTGGGTTCAAGCAATTCTCATGCCTCAGCCTCCCCAGTAGTTGGGACTACAGGCATGCGCTACCATGCCTGGCTAATTTTTGTATTTTTAGTAGAGACAGGGTTTCGTCACGTTGGCCAGGCTGGTCTCGAACTCCTGGCCTCAAATGATCCACCCACCTCAGCCTCCCAAAGTGCTGGGATTACAGGCATGAACCACCATGCCAGGCCCCTGCTCTAAAACTTTTTAATAAACTTTCACTCCTGTTCAAATAATTCCCTCAGTCTCTTACTCTGCCTGTGCCCCTTGGATGAATTATTTCCTCTGAAGAGGCAAGAACCAAGTTGCTCCAGACCCATATGAATTCGCTGCTGCTAACAAGTTGACTCTAACAGTGAAAACATTAAAAAGTAAATTATACTTACCTATTACTAGATTATTTGGCCGCTTCTTATTATGGGAGCCAAACATGAATAAAGAACAATCTGACTTCTTTGAAAAGAATTCCTATAAAACCAAATAAATCCCATTTAGTCAACACATAAATTTAAGAACTTTAAGAATCTTACCTTTAAACTCAGGCCAGGCACGGTGGCTCACACCTGTAATCCCAGCACTTGGGAGGCCGAGGCAAGTGGATTGCTTGAGATCACAAGATAAGACCCTGTCTTTATTAAAAATACAAAAGACAGCCAGGTGTGACGGCACACGCCTGTACCTTAGTGGCTGAGGCACGAGAATCGCTTGAACCCAGAAGGCAGAGGTTGCAGTGAGCTGAGAATGCGACACTGCACTCCAACCTAGGGGACAGAGTAAGACTGTCTCAAAAAAGTAAAACAAAACAAAACAACTATACCAGTTTGTTTTTTTTTTCCAGTGGAAGTTAATAAAGACTTAATGAACCAGAAAGGAAAATACAGGGGAAAAGTACTTCTAGCTTTTTACTTCAAGTTTTCTGATTTGGGGTACTTAGGGAAAAGATGTACATTTCAAGACTAAGAATACATGAAAATTATTCAGTTAATAAATAAAATGAAACCATTTATTTTGTTATGCTGTCATTTTGGAATAGCACACCAAGTGTTCATTTGCTGAACAAATCCCTTTAACTCACAGGATATCACTACTATCATTGCACACATTTAAAACACACGAGGCCCAGTAAGGTGGCTCATGCCTGTAATCCCAGCACTTTGGGAGGCTAAGGCAGATGGATCACCTGAGGTCATCTGATGTCAGGAGTTTGAGATCAGCCTGGCCAACATGGTGAAACCGTGTCTCTACTAAAAATTAAAAAAATTAGCCAGGCGTGGTGGTGCATGCCTGTAATCCCAGCTACTCAGGAGGCTTAGGCAGGAGAATTCATTGAACTTGGGAGGCAGAGGTTGCAGTTAGCCGAGATCACGCCATTGCACTCCAGCCTGGGCGACAAGAGCATTGCATACCAGCCTTGGCAACAAGAGCACTGCACTCTAGTTTGGGTGACAAGAGCGAGACTGTCTTTAAAAAAAAAAAAAAAATTATTTGGCTGGGTGCAGTGGCTCACGCCTGTAATCCCAACACTTTGGAAGGCTGACATAGGTGGATGGCTTGAGATCTGGAGTTTGAAACCAGTCTGAGTAACATAGTGAAACCCTGTCTCTACGAAAAATACAAAAATTAGCTGGGTATGGTGGTGAGCACCTATAGTCCCACCTACTTGGGAGGCTGAGGTGGGAGGAAGGATCACTCGAGCCCAGGAGATCACGGCTACATGCAGTGAGCTGTGATGACACCACTGCACTCCAGCCTGGGTGACACAGTGACAACATCTTGGATAAAAGAAAGAGAGGGATCTTATCCATTTGGTTCTCAGAAGTATAGACTTCCATTACAGATTTCAGAGTAGTAAAAAATCTAAGTGTGGGGTTCTAATCCTAGACAGCTCTTTTTACACTATGCCTATAGTCTCCACATCCCACATGCTTTGATTCAGTTTACTGAGATCACCACTCTTAGCACAAAAATTAGAATCAACATGTTTTAGTCCAAAAATCAATTGGAAAGCCTCTTATTAAGAAAAAAAAAAAAAAGGCCGGGCGCAGTGGCTCACATCTGTAGTCCCAGCACTTTGGGAGGCCGAGGTGGGTGGATCACCTAAGGTCAGAGTTCGAGACCAGCCTGACCAACATGGTGAAACCCTGTCTCTACTAAAAATACAAAATTAGCCAAGCGTGGTGGTACATGCCTGTAATCCCAGTTACTCGGGAGGCTGAGGCAGGAGAATCACTTGAACCCAGGAGGCGGAGGTTGCGGTGAGCCGAGATCACGCCATTGCACTCCAACCTGGGCAAAAAAACCAAAAACCCCGTAAAAAAAAAAAAAAAAAAAGAAAACAGATGAAAGAGTCATAACCCTCAATTTTTCTTTACTCCTTACAAGACTCTCTGAGGTATGAGCCCCTAGTTTGGTTATCATTCATTCTAGTCTCTAAACAGAAGCATAAAGGGCAAACAACTACCCAGCTGGCCTGTCCACAACCAGTATGGGGGATGCAGAGTCAGAAAGTCCAAGAATTCAGGCTCTGCCACTAAGTATCTGGACAAATAATCTTTTCTGAGAATTAACTTTATCAGCAGGGATAATACCACCTCCTGCAAAAACTTGCAAAGGCCACATGCGATGTCACGTGAACGCACCTTGTACAATGTTGTACAATGTCCTGAACAAAGCAGGTGTCCAGAAAATATTTTTTATGGCCAGGTGTGGTGGCTCTTGTCAGTCACCCCAGCACTTTGGGAGGCTGAGGTGGGTGGATCGCACGAGCTTAGAAGTTGGAGACCAGCTCAGGCAACATGGCAAAATCCTGTCTCTAGTAAAAATAGAAAAAAATGTCCGGGTGTGGTGGTATGCACCTGTGGTCCCAGCTACTTAGGAGACTGAGGTGGAAGGATCACTTTAACCCAGGAGGCGGAGGGTGCAGTGAGCCGAGATGGTGCCATAGCACTCAAGCCTGGGTGATAGAGCGAGACCCTGTCTCAATTAAAATATATATATTTATTTTGTATGTCTAAATCAATGGAATTACTTTCTTAAAATTTCTTAAACATTCTTAAACATTCTCATGGTATGACTAACATCCCGAAGCTTTCCACAAAACACCCTTCATATATACTTGAGTGTTTTATATATATACCCACACACGTGTGTGTGAATGTGTGTGTGTGTGTGTATACGTGTATATACGTATATATAATCTCATCCCATTCTCCCCAAAGTCTACTTTTTATTTCTTAAAATTCTAGAACAGGGGTAGTCAAATTACCTGCAAAAAGCCACATAATAAGTATTTTAGGCTCATCCTTTTGTTTTGTCTTTAACCAACTCTTCTTTTTTGTGTGAGACAGGGTCTCACTCTGCTGCCCAGGCTAAAAGTGCTATGGTGCAGTCATGGCTCACTATAACCTCAAACTCCTGCACTCAGCAGATCCTCCTGCCTCAGTCTCCCAGACAGTTAGTACTTGGGCTCCCACCACCATTTCCTGCCAATTTTTTACTTTTTTAAGAGATGGAATCTCAATATGCTGCTTAGGCTGGTCTAGAAATCCTGGCCTCACGCAATCCTCCCACTTCATCCTACCAAAACAATGGAATTAGAGGTATGAACCACGGTGCCCAACCTAACCAACTCTTTTTTTTTTTTTTAATTGAGACGGAGTTTCACTCTTGTTGCCCAGGCTAGAGTGCAATGGCACGATCTCGGCTCACTGCAACCTCCGCCTCCCGGGTTCAAGTGCTTCTCCTGCCTCACCTCCTAAGTAGCTGGGATTACAGGCATGCGCCACCACGCCTGGCTAATTTTGTATTTTTAATAGAGACGGGGTTTATCCATGTTGGTCAGGCTGGTCTCGAACTCCTAACCTTAGGTGATCCACAGGCCTTGGCCTCCCAAAGCGCTGGAATTACAGGCGTGAGCCACCACGCCCAGCCTAACCAACTCTTTAAAAATGTAAAAACCATTCTTAGCTCATGAGCCTCACACAAAGAGGGATTTGGTCTGCAAGCAGTGTATTTTTGCCAACCCCTGTTACAAAGCAGCAAAACTCATTTCTCCAAGATCGTAGTGAAAAAAATGTGTGGAGAGGGTCAGGAGGAGAAAATTGACCACTATTTCCAACACAACCACTCCTTCCATAGCCATTTTGAGCTCTGTAGGTCTGGGATTCAGACAGCTAATAAATATATCCTATATCTGGGGATAGGAGATCAAAGAGAGGGAATGTCACAAACTTAAGAGTAAGAAAAGCTGTTATATCAACACTAGACTAAAAAAGCTCAAGTGCTACAGCTTTCACTATGGAACACTGCCACAAAGTGGTCATGCAACTAAAAGCATTATAGTATCACAAAACAAAACCAGGCCTTGATTAAGTGGTATATGAAACAGAGAATTCTGAGATAAATCTTTTATTTTTACTTCCAGGATCTCTTCAACAAATGACTGTAAAAAACATGAGACAAATAAAAGTAATTTGAAAAAAACTGAGTAAAATGCATTTTACCGATACTATCTTAACTTTCACTGCAGTTAGTTACAGTAAGATTATTTGATTTTAATCTAATTAATCATTAATTTCTTTCTTTTAAATTCGCTAATTAAAAGAAAAAAAATTACAAAAGTCAAATGAGCTTAAGGAAAAAACAACAACAAATAATGGGTTCCTGGTTGGCTGCGATAGCTCATACCCATAATCCCAGCACTTTAGGAGGCCAAGGTGGGCAGATCATTTGAGCTCAGGAGTTTAAGACTAGATTGGGCAATATGACAAAGCCCTATCTCTACAAAAATCAGCCAGGCATCGTGTCGTGCACCTGTAGTGCCCGCTTCTGAGGTGGGAGAATGGCTTGAGTCTGGGAGGTGGAGACTGCAGCAAGCAGAGATCATTCCAACGCACTCCAGCCTAGGCAACAGAGCCAGACCCTATCTCAAAATAAACAACAGGTTCCTATCAAGAAAACATAATCATATTAAGTTCTTTTAATTTTTTTAAATAGAGACGGGGGTCTCGCTATGTTTTCCAGGCTGGTCTCGAACTCCTGAGCTCAAGCAATCCTCCTGCCTTGGCCTCCCATAGTGCTGGGATTACAGGTGTGAGCTAATGTGTCTGGCCCAACTCTTAAGGAAGAAACTAATTTTCTTAAGGAAGAAACTAATATCACATACTGAAAGTCCATTCATCATTCCCCACTTACTATAAACAATCTTTGATTTCATTTACTAGTTTTTTCATTTAGTTTTGGTTGACTATATACTCAAACAAGAATCTGATTAACTCTAGGAAAACAACTGACATCTGTTACCAATAATTCAGGTAGTGTTTCTTGTTTTAAAAGTATCCAAGCTGGTTGTGGTGGTGCACACCTGTAGTCCCATCTACTTGGGAGACTGAGGCAGGAGGATTGCTTGAGCTCAGGAGTTTGAGACCAGCCTGGGCAACATAGCAAGACTCAGTCTTAAAAAAAAAAAAAAGTAAAAGCATCAGAAGGAAGAATCATATTTTTAGAACTCAAACTTGCTTTATAAAAATAGATCTATAATAAACTTCCTTTTGAAAATTCATTATGTCCTTTAAATGCAACTCAAGTTTTAAATTTTTTTTTTTTTTTTTTTGCGCTGGGAGCTCTTCCCACTCTCTGTTGCCCCACGCCGCTCGGAGTCGCACACTGCGCCGCACCCTTGCTCACTTAAACTCCCCCCTCCCCCTCCTGCTCCTCCCTCCTCCAGTGCATTACTCCCCCCCCCCTGCCTCAGCCTCCCTCGAGTACTGGGATTAACAGGCATCTGCTACCACGCTCGGCTAATTTTTTTGTACTTTTAGTAGAGATGGGGTTTCTCCATTGGGTCGGACTCCGTCTGAACCTAATCTCAGGGATACCCACCCGCCTTGGCCTCCCAAAATTCTGGGAATTACAGGAGTGAGCCCCACCACGCCCGGCCAAGGTTTCCTAAAAATTTTATCGGACCCCCGCGGCCCCCCCGCCGCGCGCGCTGCCCAAGCCTGTAATCCAGCACTTTGGGAGGCCCCGAGACGGTGGGATCCACCAGCCGCCTCCCAGAAGCATCGAACATC